ATTCAGAAAATACCAACCACACTTGTGTCRGATCATTATTTGGTGAAATGTAGTAGAAAAGATGTTTTGTGCTTGATTTTGTACGTAAATTTCACTTGCAGTGMGATATGTATAAACAAGGGATTTTTTTCATCTTTTCAGTTTGCACTTGTCAAATTTAGGATAAGATGCATTAAGTCAGTACAGACATTTTAGATAACTGAAAAGATTCTAGTTTTGTGAGACTTTTAAATAGCTTTCATTTCTCACTTTTTGATTTCAGAACATTCAACTGTCAATTATAACTTTAAAAATATTCAAAATAGCTAATTTTGGGTAACAGAGCCTAGATTGTGAGGACAAGAGGTCTCAGAAAATGTAGTTTCTTCCTTTAAATTTTGAAATTTTGATGCTGTCGTCATCAACTGCTTTTTGGACTTTATGRGTGTTGGGCGTGGCTTTTGACCAAACATTGCACATATTCTGTTTCTAAGTTAGAGTAACATTCAGAAAATACCAACCACACTCGTGTCGGATCATTATTTGGTGAAATGTACTAGAAAAGCTGTTTTGTGCTTATGTTGTTAATATCACTTGCAGTGATTCGAGAATTATGTATTAACAAGGGATTTTTTTTCATCTTTTCAGTTTGTACTTGCCAAATTTAGGATAAGAGGCAAGTCAGTACATTTAATTTTAGATAACTGAAAAGATTCTAGTATAGCTTAATTTGAATCATGTCACCTATGTTTTGTGGAAACCATTTTGTTAGACTTAATTAGAGCTTTCACTTCTAACTTTCAGTTTTAATGTGTGCAGAACAATTCAACTGTCTAATAACTCAAAACAATTTTCAGGTTGACAATTGATGCCAGACCAGCCATAATTATGCCTGGATGGTTTGCTATTTTGGGTGTCACCTGTGCACTTTTGACATATCAGTTGATTTAATTCAACGAGGGTTGGCCGATCAATACTCAATGTTGGCTAAAATGGCAACTTGTAAAGCAACCAATTTTTTCAATTTGATTTATCTTATCCAACTAATTTTTCACTAGCAATTGTTAATGATATGTGAGCAATGGTCCTTACTTTTCTATCATTGTTTGTCATGAGGACAGGTGCTTTCAAACTAATGTCATTTTTGTCTCTGCACTCAAGTTTTTTTTAAAGTTTTGGCATTTTGATTAGCTTCCTTGAGTTGACAGGTAAAGGGCAGGGCAGATCACCTAAAAATTATCCTATTCTGTATCGGTGCATACAGCATGTTCTCCATTTAGTAAATTCATTTTGAGACAGTTCTTTTTATTTCAAACAATTTATATCTCAGTTGATTTAGGTATTGAACGAGGGTTGGTTCAAATACTCAATTATATATATATGCAGGTTTCACTGCACTCTTTCTTGCAAGACAAATAATCGAATAGCTTTGGAATTCTTTATCGATCAAAAGGAGAATCTTTTTATTTGTTATTTTMATACTTTTTTACATTTTCAATTACAAGTATGAATTTTAATAATATTTTTACTGTGCTTTTTATTTGTTTAGAGCGGATTTCATATGARTGGGAAACGGGCAGTACTGTATTGTGACCGTAATTGTACTGTAACCAAATTCTAGTGCCCCATACACCTTTACCATAATGCAGGCTGTAAAATTGTGTTTTTCCAAAATAAGATTGAGATGTATATTTTGTCACTGTAACATCAAAGAACTATCAGAAATAAACTTTTTTGGAAAGTTTTAGAACTCTGAACAAAATAGGAAAAAAATTGTCGTGGTGAAATAAAAATACAAAGAAATGTATGTAATTTTCCACCAATGGCTGTCTGTCTATTTGTTTCTGTTAATATGAAATATGTGAAAACTTTGTCACTGTCATGTGAATGAACTACAAGAAATAAACATTTCTGGAAAGTTTTACAGCCCTGGAAAAATGCGAACAAAGTTATGGCCAAATGAAAATACAAGACATGTAATGTAATTTTCAGCCAAGGCCTTTATAGCCTCGTTCTGGTGTTGTGGTGTATTTTAAATCCTTATAACTTCACCAGAATTTAATATTTTCATTTCAAACTTTTATATGTTGCTATCAGCTGTCAGTTTACTTTGACTAAAATTCTAAATTTTAAAAATTTATGTTTATAGATGGCGGCCATTATGGTAAAGGTGTTTTGGTTCCCAAAAATTGTGCAGGCCAGGTCCGGTAACCGTGCCGTAATGGTGTCCCACTCATACGAAATCCGCTCTATTTGTTGTTGTGTTGTTGKTGTTGTTTGACCACCTTCATTTAATCCTGTGTTCTTGGACTAAATCTGTTTGGCCTGAGCAACATTCAGTCCTTGATAAGTATATATTTAATTTCAAATCCTATGAAAGTAAAAGTAAAGATATATTAATTAGTTGGTTTTCCCTGGAGGTAATGTAACTGATTTAATGATAGCATTTAAATGGAGTCACATGAACATGCAGTTAACTAACTTTTACCAGTTTAATTTATGTGACATATGTATTTAAGCTTACTAGGGGCCATAAAAAAATAAAAACTTCACCAGGAACATAAAACACAAGAAAAACACATATGTCAGTTCAAATAATTTCATTCAAAATATTAAGTTATCATTTTTTCCCCCTTCGCAGTAGAGCTTGGCCTACCTGTGGATCAAAATCGAAAAAATCGTGCTTTTTTCGCCAAGTTCTCGCACAAGGTCCAGACTTAAGTCACATCATTATACCCTGGTGCCAGAGGTTTGATATTTTCTCTCTTCGCTATTGTTTTTGTCGACTCTTGATTCGAGATGTGCAGTCTTATTTCAAGAGAACATGACTTGGAACAAGCATTTTTGCGTTTACAGTGATATATAAGCTCAAAAAGGGCAAATATCTCTAGATTTCTCATTCATGAATATAAGCTACCGTCTTACCTTTTCCTCTGATAATCTGTACTGCTGCATGACATGAGTCATTTCCTGCTTCGTATACACGCTGTTATAGTGCAATTAAAGCTAAAAACGATCCTCTTGAACGCAAATATTTGAAGAAGCAAAATAAAGTGAGACTTAACCATACAGTAGTAAGTTATTTTGTCCGGGTTTTTTTTTTGTTTGTTTACATGGAATTTGAGCTCAGGGCGCAAAGGATCTTGGGTTTTTATAATGACGTCATGAACAAATGATTTCCGTTTTCCGGATATGTAAAATAGTAAAAAGGAAATTGACCCGATTTTGTAATTTCAAGTATCATTTTTTTTGCCTATTTTGAATTTTACTTGTGACTGTATTTTCAATAAATTTTAAAAACTCCATCGAAGCAAATTGCCTTTTTTTTATTGCTCAACACTTTTCAAAACCAGGAAACGTAAGAAATAGCCATTTTTCTAAATTCTTTAACACTTTCAAGGATTTCAATCAATTACAACAAATGAAGGATTTTATTATATTTTGTTCAGAAACTTGGAAGTGCAAAAGTGTATTCAGTATCTGGATATTAATTTTTCATTGTAAAGAAAATGGATTTGCACTAAGACACACGGACCCCTTAATTTTTAATCAGAAACCAACCGATCAGCATAGACAAAAGAACAAGTGAATCATTTTATCAAAGCGATTAGATTGTACTCATTTTCTCAGATATGAAAAGGTTAATGCATTTTTTTTTCATTTGCATATCCACTTGGCACAATTTGATTATATSAGCATAAGTACGCTGTGGACACAAATATTAAAGACTCAAGTGAAGACAAATTAGCAATTGTTACGCTTAAAGATATATAGAGGATATTACATGGACGCGCGGAGATACAGATTTTATCTTCGAGTGTTGAAAATATCTCAACATGCACTCTCAATTTTTCAACACGAGAAGATAAAATTCGTAYATCCAAGCAACCATGTAATACTCTGTTTATCATATAATTACATATGAAAGTAAATTAGGTCGTAAAATACCTTCGATAGTGAAAATAACAACTTCACGAAATTTGAAATATAGGCCATTTCATAGATAATCATATGATAAATATAAGTGTAAAATAATCTTGTCTTTACACATTATGTTTATATATATATATTTCTATATTGATAATTTTGTTATATATGCGTGAGGGCTTAAACATTCCAATTATAATAAAATATTTTGTGGGGTAAAGAAGTCCAAATTGTTTTGATGGTGTAGATTAAAATGAATCTGGTGCCCTAAGAACAATATTTGCCAGTGAGTTTGTTGATCAATTTTCAATTGTTTGTCATTAAAATTCGAGTTCATAATAATATCTTATTAACCGAGCGCGAGGGCAGTACGGGAAGTTATGGACCGAGTTTTTTTTCCACTGACTTATGGCCAGAGCGCGTAGCGCGAGGGCCATAAAAAGTGGAAAAAAACGAAGTTCCATAACTTCCCGTACGGCTCGAGCAAGCGAGGTTAATAAGATATTTATTATATAGCATTTTCAGGGAAAAATAGTAAAATTGATAGAGAATCGGACATAAAAACACGTACTTTTTGTTCGTAATTTTCTTGTCATTCAAAATAGAAAAAAGAAAAGCCTGAGAAACCTCGATGGCAAAATTTGGATTCATTGACTCTTTTTTTTATACAGTACAACTACAAAAAGAGAGAAAGGGAGCCTTTTTAAGATGAAAAACGTTTTTTCTCGTTTCATCTGGTCCGTACGGGAAAGTATGGCCCGCTTTTTAACCAATGATATCGTGTTTTACATCCTGGCTATATAATAAAGAACATTATTCAATTTTTTTCTCTTGTACTGGTTTACATATATGATCGCTCGCGATGTCGCTGCATCGAAAAACTTGCTCAAAGGACTTTCAATCACAGAAACACTAATCAAACCACTTGTTTAAAAACTTTAGTTCTTTTGACTTTTTAGACGCGACGCGCGATCAACAAGCAAAGCTCTTCATCGGTCATAGCGCATAATCTAGCATAATGGCAGTCTTAACTTGTTGGCGTATAAAATAGCTGGCATCATTTTAGTTTATCGATGGTGAGAGAACATATAGCTTTAGACTTCTGAATTAAGGCAACATAGTTTGTTTTTCATACCTGTGCGAATATTTGTTAAACGTAAAGACATGATGATAGGATTTACCAGAGATTGAAGGTTAACAAAAGTCACTACAATAGGTTGGCCTACATAGTCCTGTGTTAAGTCCATCCATTGAGCTACTTCAATGATATTATATATCAAAAATGGAAGATATAAAAGAATCGACGCGAGCACTATCAAACCAGTCGTAAAGGCATACTTTTGTTCTTGTAAACACTTTTCTACTTCTTGTTTCTGCTCCTGATCTTCCTGTTGTTCTTCTTCCTGCTGCTGTTGTTGCTGGTGTTGATAATGGAGACGATGATGTTGTTCTTCTTTTATTTCTTGTTGATGTTGTTGCTGCGGTTGTTGATAATGGTGATGATGTTGTTCTTCTTTTATTTCTTGTTGATGTTGCTGCTGCGGTTGTTGATAATGGTGATGATGTTGTTCTTCCTTTGGTGCAAGTTGTTGTTGTTGCTGCGGTTGTTGCTGCTGCTGCTCTTGCTTTTGTTGACAATTGAGATGATAATGTTGTTCTTCATGTAGTTCTAGTTGTTGCGGTTGAATTTGATCCTTCTCTTGTCCTTTACGCTCTTGGTCGTGTTGCTGCTCGTTTTGATGCTGGTTGGACTGGCGATTGAATTGACGTGCTGCGTTTTCGTATCTCTTTTGTGGTTCTTGCTGCTGTTCTCGGTTTTGTTGTTGTTCCTTTAGTTGATTCCCTTCTCGGAAGGGATGTTCATTATTTTTTTCTTCTTCACGATGGACTTTCTGCTTTTGATGTGGATTTGATTCTTTATTTTCACTATCAAGTCGCTTTTGACCGAACTCTTGCACCTGCCGCCGCTGTTGGGATTTTCTTTGAATCTTTTCATGGTACTGGGGCTTTCTTTCTTTATATTTCTGTTTTTCTTGTTCTAGATGCTCGCATGAATGGCGATCCTGCATTTGTAGTGTTTGTTCCCTGTGCTCTGTAATTTTGTCTTCGTGTAGCTGTTCTTGCTGGCGTTGAAGTAGCTGAAAATGTATTGCCTGCTTTTGTCTATCTATTGATTTTCTCTGGCGACGTGCTGTAAGCTGAACTTTGAAAGTACAATACAAAATAACAGAGCAAATGGGGCTCAATATAACAATATGAGCAACGGGACTCTTCTTACTAGCGGCTGATTTGTGGAAATAACTGATCCTGGTAGACACGAAAGGTATTAGAATTATACACCAAACGATTGCCACCGCAATCATGACTTTCTTGGCATTAACTTTCGTTAAATAAAATTGTGGATATTCTATGGCAAGATATCTTTCTAAACTAACCAGCATTAAAGTACACAATGTCAAAATACTACACAGCATTACAATCGAACTGATCGTCTCCGAGCAAGGTGCCTGACAATCTGCTAACAGACAAGTGTAGTACCGGGTAACAAATGGTTCAACTAACAAACCAACAATTAAGTCAGTTGTAGCTAAAGTGGTAAGCAGAATATTGTAGCTTTTTGATCGAAATTCTTTTCTTGAAAGCAGTGTCCATACGATTAATGCATTGACGGCGAATGTGATTGGGGCAGCAATGCCATTAACAGTAGCTATCGTAATCCATAATTTATGCACTGCACTTGATACGTTTTTAGGTTTGAAATCAGCTGAAACCAGGCAAAGTGCTGTTTTGTTGCTTTGGAGCTTTGCCATGGCAAAATGATATATTTATGCACAATCTCATGATTTTTCTGACAAGAACTAATTATAGACGAASGAAATACGCATGTCTTCCATTGTTCTAAACTTATTCATCAGGCTTAATTTCCGACCCATTTCCTGGTCGAARACCTAAGCTAAATGACGTCAATAACGCTTAGTTAGATAGATAAAGCGTTTATCAAAAATATTGCACCTTGCAGTCTATCAACTGAATTATGTATCAATCAGATTAAACTGTCAAAAACTCGTACTCGGGATTTACATGTATTTTTCATACATACAATATGTTAAAACTTGGGTATCCCGATCTTCACACATTCAGCAAATTCACCAGCAAATGTAAAATGTTTGCTATTGACTGATTTTGGGTGATTGTTAATATTTCACTCAGTTTGGCTGACGAAAAATTAGCTCTCTCTGTTTTTTTCGTTCATCCCATATTCATTGAACATTGGTGCCGTTTTCCTCGTTTGAAAAGCATAATTTTTCAGTGACGCTAACTAAGAAAAATATGTTTTGTAGGCAAAGCTAGAAAAATAACTATTATTTTGTTAATGTTGTATGATGTGTATGATATATATTTCAAAATCATACATAATTAATGAGCTACTAGGCCAGTAGAATGAGCCTATTTGGTCACATGCATGGACCTTTATATCTGATAAAACACTCCTTATTAGTACTCTTTGTATAAATAATACCAATAATATTAGGGTGACCTTTATCAGACATAAATGTCCATGACCCTAGCAAAGGTCTCAGGTTTGAAACCTGATCATTGACCAATGCAGGATGTCAACCGATTGCAGTGAACAGCCAAGAGCGGTTCTATGTATAGTTTACAACATGAGCGGCCGTGTTGTATGGGAATTACAATCTCGAGCCGCAGGCGAGAGATTGTAATTCCCATACAACACGGACGCGAATGTTGTAAACGACTTATAAAACTCCAACACAAATTAACATGAATTACAGTGAGATAAATGACGAAAAATGACAAATAAGGTAACTGCTGAGTTTAGTCCCTATTAAGCATGCGCAATTTACTGCAACACAGAACATTTTGAATAATTATCCATCCCACATGGAAAGCAAGCCATCTGTTGCATAACCGAGTTCTGTTATCCGTCTTTGATTGCTTCAAAACCTAGTGAAGGTCTATGATGCGACACTAAAACTGAGACCTTTGCTAGTGTTGGGTTGTCTCAATGGTGACGACCGTGTTGTAAATCTGATACAACCACTAGTGGTTGTATCAGATTTACAAGGTCAATCACCTGATTAAATGGTCAGCCCTTATTGGAGCAATAGCTTATGCATTATTAATAAGTTTTATAATTTACGTTATGCGTATTCAATGTGGGTTGACAAAGAGTGCTTTGTAAAGTGATTCGTTGTAGTGTGGATATACACCTAACAGACCTTTTTAGCGGTTGAAACCAAAGCGGGCAACATTTGCTGCAGCCCTCAAATAAATAAGAGTGTCAAGTCATAGCGAAATTATGACCTTTTTCGCCACACAAAAAAAAAAWAATAATAATAATAACAAGTTTCTGGTATTACAAAAAGATAAACAAGGTCAAAGAAGACAATTTAGGGGCTGTTGACCGACCGATTAAGTCTCGCGCAACTTGTTTTCCAACCGCGAAAGGGTAATTTGCGAAATTTTGTTTCTCAGCCACCATGTTTGATTCTTTTGTAAGAGGAGAGGAAAAATTGACTTTTCGATTTCTATCCGGGGATATTGGGATCCATTGGTTCATTAGAAAGTTAATTTATTCTTCGTGTTTATATTATTGTCAAGTTCCAAGTATAAGGAATTGGTTTGCATAAGGTTATAATAATAATAAATAATAATAATGCTATTTATATAGCGCTTATCCAATTCTGTTCTAAGCGCAATTTGACAAGTAAAAATCAATTCATAACTACATGCTGGTGAAAACGGCGTTGAGTAAGAAAATCAAAGTTGGCGTTTTTCATTATTCGAGGACTATTGAAAATAGACCTTACTCAACGTAGCCAATCAGAATATTATAGGATTTTGCAATAGTCCACTAGTATGGTAATACTAATGCGTTATAGGAGATCTATATGATCATTTACCAATCACTGCTTAATTAATAGGAAGAATAGAAGTTCGGTGTGAGAAGAAGAAGAATATTAATATATTAATATTATAATATATACAGCTGTTTGCAATAATTCTGACCCCCTCTGCCATATTTCATATATATCAAACTGACTTTAATATTATGGGATATCATGACTGATATATTTTTTGAGTTGTCCAGAATGAGTACTTTCTAAAAAAAATATCAGCAATGGTATCCCATAATTTCTAAGGCTATTTTGATATATATGAATATTAGTGTAGGGGGGTCAGAATTATTGCAAACAGCTGTATAAGATATTAATATCTTTTATTAAATAAACACTTTGCAGTCTTACGACTGAATTGCGTGTTAAAACTTACAATATATAATAAAGTAGATAAAAAATATGATGTTAGAATATTATAAAAGTATTATAATGAAATATATAAATATGAATTATATGGGAATTAGTATATACAAAAAGTTAAGATGAATGGCTTCTTACAATAAAACTGTTTCTAAAACGAGTGATTTTGCATATAGGTGTATTGAAAAGTCGTTGCCTTCTAAAATTCCTTGAGTGAGTAATTCTGGGTAATAATAAAATATGTAACTTATGATGAGAGTTGTTATTAATGTTCTTAAAAAGTTCTTGGCATAGTACTTTACTCCGGTTTTAAAGTGTAGGAAGTCCGGTACTGTCCAAACTGTCTTATAGCTGTTATCAGGGAAAATGATTTTCAAGGCGCGACGCCGAATCCTTTCGATTTCCTGTGATAAGTAAGCAGGAAGGCTTCTGTGGAAAATAACACTCTACAATAAAATCTGACAAGGTCTTTAGTGTCGATTCCAGCGCGTTTGAGTTGCCTTAATAAGTAAAGTCTTTTGGCAGCTTTAACGTTTTTCAAGTAATATGTGGTGGTCCACCAGATCAAAGGCTTTGCGGAAATCAAATAAAGCAGTTCTTACAGAGTCGATCCACTGCCGTCAGTGGCATGTAGCCAATGATGAAATATAGAAATTAGAGCAAAAGTGGTAAAATATCCAGGGATGAATCCAAATTGGGCAGGGTCAATGGCCTGTAGTACTACAGGTTTCAGAGCCTTTTGAATGATGAAGTCCTCTGCTATTTTAGAGAGTGTAGGCGTCAGAGATATAGGTCTAAGTTCCTTGTTGATGTCTACGACAGTACCCACTTTTCAATTTCCACGTCCCCTTCTCACTGCTAATTTCTGACAAGACCCTTATTTCGGACTTTATTCCATTTCTCTTGTGCTATTAAGACTTTTCACACACACACACACAAAATAGACTGGGACTAAAGAGGGTCTCAATGGGGTGGTACGCATCACGACTCACGGCTAAAAATTTGTCTGACATCGGAGTTTACGAAATTTCATAAGTGTCGCTTTTCGCAATGATGTATTCTATGCCGGGCTAAATGTGCATGGTAAAATCAGGAAGTTTGCAGCGTATTCATATTATTATTTGACTCTAAACAAAATTATAGTATTTTAAAATCGAGCAGATTTAGTTTCTTGTCACACTTAGCGTGACGCAGGCACTAAATGAGTGGGAGTTTTAAAATGTACAAAACAAATCCCAAAAATACTATCTAAGAAAGAAAAAACCTTTTATAACTAATTATARTATTTTAAAATCGATATCTTATCTAATTACAGAAAATGTCAGAATATATACAATGTCCGTACGAATAGAAAACATAATTCGGCCACTCTGTTTATATTAACAAAACTGTGGGTCACGTGATCCGCCTTTTTGGCACCTTCTTGTATAGCTTAGGCCTAGTGTCAACGTTTGGGTATGGTCAGGTTTGTTAACTTAAGGTTAGGGTTAAGATTTATGTTAGGTTTTGCTTCAGCTTAGGGTTAGAATGAGGGCTAGGTTTCAGGTTTTTATCCTGTGGTAGACACGTGACTAGCGTCTCCCACCCAAAGCTCGACGTCATAGTTGAAGTCTTCACTGACACATGAGATTGTCCAACTACCTGAATTGTTTAGTCAGGGCTTCGATTTGTAGGTTACCACCCCTACTACCTTCGGATTCGCGTAATTTGGTTGGTAGGATTGTAAGTAAAGATTTTAGATAGCCTCCCCCTCTAACATCGGAATGGGCGCTGGGTTTTAACTCAAA